AATACCTGACCTTAAGACACCTTCTGAGATGGATAGTGCTGGTTCCATTAGAGTAAAAGGATGCAGAGAGCCAGAGGGAGAAGTCTGTGCTGATCAGTGAGATTTCTGTTCTGTAACTTTCCTTTCACCACAGCCTATGTGCAATAATTGCTGTACCCTTTACCACCCAAAGATTGCTGTTGTCCTCGACCAAAAACCCCCAAGTGGAAGGGTACAATGAAAGTTCTACACAAGAACAATCTTCAATGCATTATAAAAAACATGATGCTCATTTATTCAGTGAAATAAGAATAATATAGGAGCTCATACTTGAGAATGTTGTGCAGATTGAATGAAACTAATTACAGAGAACATATAACAGTGCTGTCCTGTAGATATTCCTCAATATTGACTCTTAACTTGACGCTTATTGTCATCCTCGACATCATCCTCATCCACACTATCATGTTATTTTGTTTAGGGTGCAGTTTACAGATACACATCTTTTTCTATCATGAGTTAGATGTATAGCAGATGGAAGGTTAGTGTTGGAGGAAAGGAAAACTATGACTGACACTTTTGCGACAGCCACAATATTCACGTATTAAAATTGCAGCTGAAACTTGGCACACTTTCATCCTCTGACTACTTAAAAATTCATGATTTGCCTTACGCTAAGGAAACAGTGATTCCCATAGACTCTCCTTCATTCCCTCTCCCTTTTCACATTTCAGTCTACACTGTCTCTCTGCTAAGTGATGACTACCAACTACACACCAACACCTCTCACTTGCATGAGGTGCAGTGCAGATGCAATCTCTGCCTTCAGGATTATATCAGTGGAGTCATGAATGTACGTATCCTAAGAAAACCATGGACTGGTGGAATGGACACCCTGGACCTGGAACTATTGAATGAAGGCCTGGAGGTACAGACTACCTATTGATTACTGTACAAACTTGGAGGCTCATTGTACACAGGTGATGATGACCTCAACTGATCCATTTTATCATATCTGTAAGAACTTCCAGAAAATAATGGAACAAGAAGAAAAGCAATAATGTCCACAAAAGGTTTTAGGTTCTTCTACTACTTGGGTTGAGGATCAGGTTTACTACTGACTGTTCATTTTATCCTGTTTTGTAAATGCAATTTTTATATACACTCTTCATTAGGGAAACTATACATAAACATAAAGTATAATTTCAACTAAATTTAAGTGCACATTTTGCAGGCATTAATTGTGTCGATATTTTTGTGCAACAAATACTCATCCATCCCTATAAAATTTTCAATTTCTCAAAATAAAACTTTGTATTAATTTTTAAAAACACAGTCCCTCCAGACCCCAACTCTCAACCTACTTTCTGCTATGAAACATGATGAGGAATTAAAACCCTCAAACCTCAAATATAATGCCCCAAAGAGGCCAAATTTAGAGGCTGAGTTGTTCAGTTTTACTCTATGTTCTTTTCTCACTCTTTTACTGTAATATGTAACATTTGGACCTAACATGTTTAATTTATGTAATTCTCATCCAACTA